GCTATTAAACAACTCCAAGGCTGCGAAGAACCGACCGAACAGCAGCTGGTCCGATCTGATCTCGACGGCGGCACATGAGGTGCAGCGGCGGCGGCGCGTGGCAACGGCGACGGCGCGTGCGGGGCTGGCGGTGGTGGAGTTGCGTTCTTCCTCTCCAATTAGATTTCACCTCGTACAACTAGACCCACTCTAACTGCAGCACTAGATACAGAAGAGTCAGAAAAACAACGGGAATAATGACGAGGAAGAAAAGAGAAGAAACCGGCGGCGGCGGCGGCGGCAGACCGGCGGCGCGACGGCGGTGCAGCGGCGGGGCTGCAGCCGTGAGGCGGAGGACGGCCGTGCTTCATGCGGCTAGGGTTTGGGGCTGTAAAATCTGATCTCAACTCATCATATGAGTTGTATTTATACTAGGGTTCATAACCCTCATGGGCTTAAGTCATTGGGCTTGACCCACTGATCCATTAAGCCCACCCCCTCGTCGGCCTCGTTTCTTACAAACGATCGTCCACAAAATTATAACAAAATTATATTTGTGACGAGCATAAAGTCCTCGTCGATACGAGTGCCTCTTTGAAATTTTCAATTTCCAAAATTGGAATCTTCTAATTTAGTGGACCTCCTAAATCGGGAAACTTCCCAATTTAGAAAGTTCACTAAATTTCCGCATATCTCTTTCTCTCCGTTTATTCCAACTCGTAATCCACAATTACGAATCTTAGATTCAATCATATTGACATCCAACTACGCAAAGATTAACACATTAATCTATGCTTGTTGTTTTCAAGGATCTATGTTACACGAGAAGTGTGACCCTCAATGGTTCAGGTGTAAGCTAGCCGTGGGCTCACAACTCTTTGTGATTCGAACAACACATTGTTCTTATACGAACTCCTCCCAAGAGTCCCGATTAGGGTAAAACTCATTTTACCTAATCCCCGATCAAATCGGTGCCCAACGAATCAAGATTGGCGTCTAGCAACTACGCATCATGATTCCCTAGATACAAATGAAGTGCCTGCAAGAACCTTGTGATATAGTTAACGTACAGTACGATCCCTTCGCAGCAAATGTCCCGATTGAACTAGAGGCATTGGTCCACCGAGACCTCTTATTAAGTTCAATAACCGTGCGAACGTTCTAGGTGTTATAATCCGTTCGTGTGTGACTTAGAGAAACACATTTCCCTAATCACCCCACTATCAACTCCGGCCGGAGATTCCATGGATTACAAACCGACAGAACACACAGGACATCCATGACTACTCAAGCGCTCGAATCCCCCACTACAATGCACAGACTTCACACTAGATTTCGGACTGCACGAACGTTGGCCCTTGGAGCGGTCCGCGGTGGGACTCAGGGACAGGTCACGATACAGTCGGTCCTCTAGTGAAGTCACGGTGATGTCTGGGTCTTAAGGACTAATGGTGCACAACTATATCATAGAAACCTATTACTCGATGATTGGGAACCACTTATAGATTTCTAGGCGAGGGAGTTCAGTGAACTCATCTAATATGAGCACCCACTCAAGTATGCCGATGTCACAACACCGATGACTGATGAGACGCAGTACACATACACTAAGTGCTAGTCTCAAAAGGGAAAGGCCGGTATCCTCATTATTGGCGTAACCCATCGACTAGGAACTAGGTTTAACAGTTACATTACTTTGTTGAATTATCTCACGATTCTACTAGACCAATTCACAGTAATAGAGTAACTCGTTAGGACTATATCTATGCGCTTGCATGGGATTACAGATATAGAATGCCAAAAGGTATTTTACCATTAATTTGAAATAGATTAATTACGAGTAGCGTGAGCAAACATAACACTTAGTTGGCTTATTGGTCACCTACTCTAACAATCATTCAGCACAGCTAATGAAGAGGTATGGTGACGAAGGATCGCCCTGGCGGAGGCCTCTCGCCGGCTTCATGAACCCGAACTGCGAACCATTAAAAAGAAATGAATATGAGACCGACGAAACACATAACATAATCAGCTCAATCAAAGACGTAGGAAAGCCGAAGCGACATAAAACTTTTATATAATATATAGATTATACGTGACTAATTTCATGAATTTAGAAACTACGTACAAGTGTAGCAATTAAAGTATACATTTAAACATTCCAAAACATAGCTTAAACATTAAAATAAATAACAAACAACCTTACATATTTAATTATTCCAAAAACATAAGTTAAACGTTAAAATGCAAAATACAACACTACAAATTTAAATATTTCAAAACATAAATTAAACATTAAAATGCAAATTTAAAAATAATACAAATTTAAACATATGTTAAACTTTCAAATACAGCATATAGTTATGATTACCATTATCACACTCAATCGCCATAATCCATCATCCGTTGATTTTGTGCCAATTAACCTGAACGGACAAGAACGTTTCTTCAATAGTCCGCGTCGTCCAGATTGATATCTTGTACACGTTAAAATATGAGATTTTTCTGTTTTACAATGATTAACCAGTTGATGATTATGACTAATTGTTGTGCCTTTTGCCCACATATTTAACGATTATCTACTATCAAACACAATACCACGTTCAAAGAAGTGACTATGATCGTGAGATTGTTCTCTTAGTTCCTGCATAAATATTTTAAATTAATAGACAATATTTAAGGGATTTCGTATGACATTACACGAAATCGAAGGTACAATTTCGTGTAAAATCTTACGAAGTAGTAGCTTTAATTTTTTAGGTTTTATCACGAAATTATCATAAAACGTAATTAAAGGTAACATTTTATACCCAAACATACGAACCAAACAGCAAAATGATATTAAGACATATTTCGTGATGTATTACACGAAATGAAAGAGTTTATTTCGTGAGAAATAATACGAAATGATTAAAACTGTTGGAAATGAACAAAAAAAAACTTGCATTTTCACCTCAAAATCGAAGCCGTTTTCATCCATGATGATAATAGTTGTGCTCAAACTGATATTGTTCGAAAATTATTGGATTTGCCAAATTTCAAAAATTAAAGGTTGAGAGTATTTGAGAGGAGATTAGGAGAAGATTTGAAAAAAAAATGAATTATTTTGCACTGCGAGTAGAAAAAATCGCACTGATAGCAGCAAACACCTTAGAAAAATACATATTGAAATTCTAAAGTACATTAAAAATAAAAATAAACAAAAACTAATACTTAAAATATTGGAGGAGAGAGAAATGCATATGTATGAGAGCGAGGGGGAGGGGGGAGAGAAATATGCTTGGGAGAGGAGGTTTTATCTATCCTACACCCGGTGAAGGTTACATCGGGTGATTTTTTACCGTTGATCTACACATACCAATGTGGGTGTGTGTGTGTGTGTTTGTGTGTATATGAATGGTAAAGATCTACCCGGTGTATTTCACCCGGTGTATGATCTCAAAAGCCGGGAGAGGAAGAGGAGAGAGAGAGAGAGAGAGAGAGAGAGAGAGAGAGAGAGAGAGAGAGAGAGAGAGAGAGACCGAGAGAGGGAGACATAAATGTGCCTGAGAGAGGGATCGGAGGCGAGTCAGGGAGTGAGAGATAGGAGGAGAAAGCCGTAAGATAGGAGAGTGATATATGTGATTTGTTCCCTCATTTTTTTAAAAAACATTATTTTCAAATAAATATTAATTAAGGATATCTTTGTCTATATACTAATAATTTAATTTAATTCATATTAATTTTATTAATCAAGGACATATAGATATATTCATTTAACAATTTGGATCTCCACATATATCTTATATATAAAAGAAAGAAACGGTGGGCAACCCTAAAAAACCCTAATGGTATTTCTGTAATTATTTATTTTTAATAGTTTTTCTCTACTAATTTCTAACTACCCTAATAATATTTCTGTAACTATTTATTTTTAATATTTTTTCTCTACTAATTTCTAACTATAATTTTTAATAATTATCAAAATTAAAACTAACTCGTGAAGAATCCTACCTTATTGCTATTTATGTAATTATTTATTTTTAATATTTTTTATGTACTAATTTTTTAACTATAATTTTCAACAATTATTGATCTCTTAATTTTCATCAATATATCTCAAATCTTAATAGATAAAGCTAGAAATTCAATATGAATTATACTACATTATTAAATTTTACTATATTAGTGTACTATATTTTCTTATAATTTTACTATTTAAATAATATCCCGTGCATCGCACGGGGGAAAATGCTAGTATGTCTAAAATAAGGAATGTCCAACTAATATTCCCTAATAAATATCATATAAAAAGTTCAAGAATTCAAAAAAAAAAATTCACTGCACCTATTAATTTTCTATATTTCATATTGTATTTGTATAAATATGTTCGGTTTAATTGTTAAAAATAATTTGAGTTTTAAGTGAACAAATTATTTTGCATAAAACTCCTTTGTGTTGCAGAAAATATGCACTAAATCCTTCCCTGGTAAGAAAAACTTGTGTAAATCCCCTCTATAATTAAATATGAGAACTCTTTACGAAAAATGAAATTTCATACAAAGTAAAATAAAATACAAGGGTGGTTTTTGCACTAGAAAAAAAAACAAAAATTACAGAGAGAGTTGACACAGATTTTCTTTCCCACATAAAAATTTTATGTTGCTTACCCGAGTTAGCGTTGATGGTGTTTAGCAAATTGGCCATTATTTTTTCCACTTTAGAGTCTTGATAAAAGGAAAGATAATTCATCGTTGACTAAATGATGACATGGAACCAAAATTCCTCTCATCCACAAGTTGTAAATTTTGACACTTGAATACATATGCATACCACCGTCCACAATCCATAGTTTTGACTATTTAATTCAAACCAACTTCTGCCATAATTGTCAACTTTTCATTGTCCACCACTCATTGTACACATATGCCAAGTTGAGCCCATTTTAGCCACTCACTACAAACACGTCAAATTTATTACTCTCCATATCTTATTCTCTCTCTCTCTCTCTTTATATATATATATAAATAATATAAATCCTCATTTGCAATTCCAGCAAAGAAAAACCCATATTTTGAGAACTCAATAATACAAGAATGAGGGGAACAAGTATATCTGTTCTAGTAATTTTGGTATTGTTCTGCTGTAAGATCAACACTGAGGGTAAAGGATACAAAGAGGCGTTCAACTGTAGAGAACTCGAGTGTCCAAAATATGAAGTGATGCACAGTGGGAAACAGTTTGAGGTTAGGAAGTACGAGGTTTCTACATGGATGTCCACTCCCACTATCAACTCCACCTCTTACTCTGATGCAGTTGCTCGTGGATTCAATATGTAAGCTGCTTTTTTTTTTTTCTCTTTTAACTACATTTTTTCTATCTTTAGCATTTCTTAAATATTATATTATTCCCTCTGTTCCTAAATATGTGTCGTTTTGCACTTTGGCACAAGTCTTAAAAATTTCAATAAATATGTTTTGATTTTAGGAAAATAGATATAGATAGACCAAAATACATTTGCCTACTAATTAATGCAGAACGACTGTTCGAGATTTAATAGGAGTACAGTCGAAAAATATGTAACTAATGCATTGAAATTATAAAGTAATAGATAATATGAAACAAACAAAAATTATTAAAAAAGACAGATATTGTGGAACAGAGAGAGTATTTTATAGGGATTATATACACTATCATGGACCCTCCCAATGAATATACTCCATCTGTTCCAAATTAAGTGTCAATTTTGGAGAGTTTTTTTTTATTCCACATTATCTGTCACTTTAGAGTTTCAAGTATGCATTAATTAACTGTTTTATCAATTCTGTCCTTATTAATTTTAACTAGTAAAGAGGGAATAAATGAAGCTAAGATTAATGGTAGGGGTACTTTAGTCGTATTATACGTTTTTTTCTCTAAAATCAACACATAATTATTAATTTTGTTAATATGTGTGCAACAACACAAACCGTCAATTATTTTGAAACGGATGGAGTATTAGTTTGTATTTGGTTCGAGGCAAATAAAATAAAATTCTGGCCCCACCGATGGATAGTACTAGTACAGGCACTAACTCCATTATATAATTATGATGAACAACAGGCTATTTGCTTACATTCAAGGGAACAACTACAAATCAGCCAAAATAGAAATGACAGCTCCTGTTTTAGTAGACGTTCATCCCTCGACGGGGCCCTTCTGCAACTCCACGTTCGTCGTCAATTTTTACGTGCCACAAAAATACCAAAAATACCCTCCAGGTTCCAGTCAACTTCGTCCGGCCAAGTTGCCCCGACAAAAATATGGTATTGTAAGGAGGTTTGGCGGATTCATGAACGACGGAAATATTGCTAGTGAAGCTATGGCGCTTAAGAAGAGTGTAAAGGGCACCCCGTGGGAATCGTCGTTTGGGAAATCATATTCGGTTGCAGGCTATAACTCACCATTTGAGTATGATAACCGTGTCAATGAGGTCATTTTTTGGTCTAACAACTAGTTATTCAAGAAGGTCATATCACCCAATAATTGTTAGTTAATAATTAAGTTGTACTTTTTTTAAGGAGGGAAGTTTATTTTCAGTGTATAAAACTTTACTTCTTGACATTGTTGCAGCACTTGATTAAGTTTCAAGACACAATGCATTCATTGTGATAGTTAATCGACATTGAGATACACTAAACACAAATTTAAGGTGGTTCGAATACAAATCGTTTTCTAATACACGGAAATTTTGTTAATGGTAGGGTATTTTGAGGAAGAGATCAGTTACTCCATATGGGATCGAATCACTAGTAAAAAAATTGCTTTTTACTATGAATTTGTTGCTACGGTAAAAAGCCGTAACAAAAGATACTTTAAATTACGGGACAATATTGGAGTCGTAGTAAATGCTAGGATTTACCGTATCAAATAAGTAGTTGCTACGGCCATTTACCGTAGCAAAGTTTTTATCACGCCCGTATATACTACGGGGCAAAATTGTAGCATATGCGTAGCAAAAGTATTGTTACTACGAATTTGATACCTTTTACTATGGTTAATGGTCGTAGTAAAAAGTAATTTTTCTACTAGTGAATCCGACTCTTAGGAGTTCACTTTATTAATTGTATGCGATACTTGGAGTCCGTATTAGGTATTTTGCCCTATAACACCAACACATTTTTGTCAGGAACTTTTTCCACACATGTAAATATATGATAAAATAATAGCCAACTCAAAAACCAAGATCAATGAAATTTGTGAAAACATATGAATTGTACGATACTCCACTATCAGCTCCTTGTGATCTTGTGATTGAGAGACCATAACATTGCATGATTAAACTATCTTAAAACAAATGGTTGAAATGCAAAATGATAGAGGTTTAACTAACAATTGGCTTGATGATCCAATCTCAATACCAACCATGCCGAATTGCCGATTACAATCGAGCTAAATAATTCAAGAAGAAGCTTGTTGCAGTGATCCAAAAAGTATTAACTAAGAAAGCTTCATTGAATGGTAATTAATAAGGCTGGATTACAAGTATTCAAGTGACGGATTCAACAGACAAGTGTAGAAACCATTTGGACTAAAAGTTACCCAAAGTTATGCAAATAAGAGCAAAGAGAATGAAGACTAAGGCCTCCTCTACCTTAAATTTGTGGCTTCTTAATAATCTCATATAATTGTGTTTATGGGCCTTTTTCTAGTTACTCTTTAATTTAGTGATTCAATTGTTTAAAGCCCTTATTTAAGTAGATTTATGATTTTATTTCTCTATTTTAAAGACTAAGGTTTGGAGGATATACATACACGCCTTGCTATTCATCATAGTAAATAAATGATCATCATAAAATTATGAGATTTTTATCTCTAATTCTTTAAGAATTTTTCTGAACTTATCTGAGGATTCCGGGAACTAACCCCGACTAATCAATCAATCTTCAGTAATTGATTGTGACGTCTTCACATACTAAAGTTCTTGTCTCTCGTTATAGGCAACGACGGGTCGTAATTTCACCCCTTTGATTCATTGTTTCGGACGGTCGATAATTTGATATTCGAGATATTATTATCGGATCTCGTCAAATGTTAGTGTGGTTCACGAAACTTTTTCCGTTTCTGCACCATCTTATTTGCTTTTGCAATTCGTGATTTCATGTTTCAAAAAGGTAGACCAAAATACAAAAGTTAGCAGTATTAGGGTTCGATTCAATTCACGGAGAACTCTCGCATAATATTTGTTTGGTTGCATTGATTCTGAGTTTTGAGAGATTTTGAAAGTGAGAGATTGCGGTCCTTTTTTTTTTTTGTTAAAATCGATTTGGATGGGGAGAGACATTTGGGTTATTTTAATTTTTTTATTTTATTTTATTAAGGACAATTTTACAATAAAAATTTATGAACTTATACAACTATAAAATTTTATTTTTTAGGGGCCTATAGAAAATTACCCATTCAACTTATAAGATGATAACTAATAACTATAATAAATAATGAAAATAATGTGTGTTTAAAATTTCAAAACATACAAAAATTTAAAAGTTGGTGGTAGGTGAAAAGTAATATTTATTGTTTACTTTTATTCTGGAAATGTTTGAATTCAGAATAACCAAGAAATTTAGGAGGGTAGTACTATTTATTATATGTAGAAATAGTTATAGGAGAGAATCTCGAGCATATGCCTGCAGAGTGCAGACTATACTATATAGTATATAGTGCCGCTTATAAAATAAGAACAAGGACCTCTTGTCAAAAAACAAAAATTACGAAAAAGACCTGAAACATCATATGATTACAGTACACACACCTTCTCTCCAATCATTCTCTTTCTTTTTACTATCTTTTAATTTAATATTACCATTTTTTTATTCGGTAATTAATTAATTAATTAATGATCTAGTAATGTTCCTCTAATAATTTATTTATAGTGTCAGTAATTGGCAGTAATGTTACTTATCATTCAGCCAAAAAAATAATCCTTGTTTGTCAAAACACCTAGTTGGCCATTAACAGGGCATCTAGGGTTTTTTTTATTTATTAGGGAGCCGTTGATGATCAAAGGGTTTTAGTTAGGGGTATTTTAAAAATAATAAAGGCATCTTCAATGGCCAGGAGTAGGGGTGGTAAACCAGCCGAACCAATTCGTGAGCTCGATGAGTCGGCTCGAAAAAAGCTCGAACTCGGATTCGAGTTTTTCGAGTTCGAGCTCGAGCCAGTTTTTAGTTGTTCGTGAGCTCACCAGCCTTATTTATTATTTTTATATATTATTTTTTATTTAAATAATGTATAATAATATAAAATATTATAGAAATAAATAAAAATACAATATAAATGTTAAAACATATTTATAATTACATTTATTGTTTATTTTGTAATTTTTTTAAAATAAATTTTAATAATAATAAAATAATAATTAAAAAAATATTTTAAAAAAATAATAAAATGAGCTTGGGCTCGAGCTCGACAAAATGGACATGAGCACGAACTCGAGCCAACAAAGAAAGAATTCAACGAGCTCGAGCTCGCTAAAATACACTCAAGCTTGAGCCTAATAAAAGAGGCAAGCTCGGCTCGTTCACACCCCTAGCCAGGAGTGATCGGCTGGGGTGTGGAGGTGGAATGGCATGCAGTGGAGGTGGGTAGGGCTAAGGACATTTTTAATGGAGTAAGTTAAACGAGCCTCTTAATTTCCTTTTAGAGAACTCAGGTCTCTAAAAAAATGTCATCTCCCGTGAGGAGTTCTGTAAAATTAATTTGATGTATTTATTTATAAATTATTTCTTATTATAACTAGATTATAGCTTAGTTTCGTAGATTAAATTTCCAATGATTATTTTTCATTTGTATTATCTTAATTTTTTAATATGTCTCACCTAGGTAAAAAGATGAATTTTTATATTCGAATTTTCAACAACAAAACTAAATATTTCAGATAATAAATATAAATATTTCAAGTAACAAAAATAAATATTTCAACAACAAAATTAAAAATATAATTGTCTTAATTTTTTTTATTAATTTACCGTCGGCAACTTTAAGTTAGAATCTATATGCAATCTCAAATATGGGAAAATATTTATAAACTTTAGATATGGTGTTTATTTTAGAAACTCTTTAAATCTCCATTGTTGTTCAGTCCTTTTACCCATGTCCTTAAAATATGGAAACTCATGAATTTTAGGGACTCCATTGGAGATGCCGATTAGAAGGGAAGGGAAAGGGGAATATATATACCTGATTTATATGCCTAATTGGGTCAGCCCAATAAGTCTACAATCTCTCTACCTGCTGGACCACGAGCCCGATTTAGAAAAATACTATTACGAAAGTTCCATCACCTTAAAATAAGGTTTGGGCCCAACAAATTAATCTCAGGCCAATCAACTAGGTATAAATAACGATTTAATTCACTTATTAAATGTACGCCCTATTATCTAAGCAATACTACAATTTGTATTCTCTCAACGACTTCACTATCCGCACGTCTGACTAGAGCGTCATGAGGTTTCTGTCGGATCAACCCCCGGCCTAGTTCATGTGTTCTCTATTCGCAGGTATCTCAGGACCATCTAACTCGTGAGCCAGTGATCCACTTTGCTCTCCTAGCTCATCATATCTCATTTATTTAAGGTGGTCTATTTATTTAATATCATCATTATGGCTTCGTATGTGGGAAGGCATACAGGATCACGTAGCGCGCATGATGTCCCTGAGTCATCTACTCGGAGAGAACGTGACAATGCTAACAACCTCCCACCTCGCGGAGGCTCTGGCTTGCCACTTCCTCCTTGTAATCAGGATCCATCTCGTGATGTCCAGATAAATCCCCCGCAGGATCCACCACTCCCCGCTCCTCGAACGGTTCAGATAACCGAAGAGGCTCTCCAATACATGATTGCGGAAGCTTCAGCTCGTGCTGCCACTGAAGCAATGGCATAATACATTGACACAACGAGAGTCAACGCTCCCCATGCAGCTCCACCTATGGCACAATGACCTCCATCGCCACCGGATAACACATCCTCCTCAGACCCTAGGTCTCGGATGCAACAATCTACTCACTGCCATGGTGCAGAACTGGGTGACAAGACCCACTTTCACCTTCAAGAGGCAACGCCTCTCACCAACGAGCTCCTCCACAAAATGGTGGAGATGATGAAATTAACAGTCAGATATCTCGCACAAATCACCTTCCCCACATAGGTAATCCTATTGGTGGAAGGGCAATACCTCCAATAAGGCGCAGTCCCTTCACTGTCGCAATACTCAATGAGATACTATCCCAACGGGTAAAGGTCTCGAGTCTACCGCAGTTCTATGGAACTACTGACCCACATGAGCACCTTGAAAAGTTCTACGCCATGGCAAATCTATATGGCTCAACTGATGCAGCGGTGTGCAAGATTTTCCGCACAACGTCTCTGAACGAGCATTGACTTCGTTTAACTCCTTGCCCACATTGAAGCTCTCTGCCAACTGACGGATCGCTTCACTAACCATTTCGCTATCAACAAAGAGTACGTTAAGACTCCCGCGTACCTCTTCACTATCACCTAGAGAGAGGGCGAAACACTCCGCAACAACGTTCAATGATTTGTAGAGGCAGCTCATAAAGTTCCTAATGTGGGAGGAAGCATGCTCTCTGGAATCATTCAACAAAACTTGAAGCAAGGTAGAT